TTTTATGGCTGCATGTGTACAATCCAGCATCTCAATGTGCAGACCACTTTTCCAAACATTTGTGTAAGAACGGGTCATTCTCAAGGGTCCAACAAATCAAAATGAGCAATGTAGGATGCTACATGGACAATAAGTTCTGCACTACTAAACATTTGACAGCCACTTAGTGGTAAGCTAAGTAAAGTAGCAAAGCAGGGACACCACTGACTAACATGCACGTTGTGCAGAAGCCAACAGCTGTTCAGATTATCTCCAGAGCAGATTGAGTGTTAAACTCATGGACTGGGTTTCCATGGCTGAGAATTTCAAATCGGAGCCTTGTAACGCCAAGTGCCACTGCGCAGCGGTATGAACCAGGCACCCACTGGACTCTAGAGCAGTAGACATTTTCTCTGGACTGACAAATGAAGACTGCCTGCCTGGCAATCTAGTGAATGAGTCTGAATCGTGGTGAAGAACAGATTGTCAAGTGTGAACGATGACGGAAGAATGATTGTGGTGAGGGTTTTTTGTTTTTTTTTGGACTTGACCCACATTCTAGTAGAACTTCTAACGATGCAGTATACAAAGATATTTTTGACCATTTAGTACTCACTATTATACGGGGACAGTTTGGGATGGTCCCTTCCCGTTTCAGCCGGACTGACAGAACACCTTAGGGATGAATGAGGGCACAGACTGAAAGTATTCTGATTACCTGAAGCTGTTCTATCTACAAATACTGGATCATCTCAGTGTCACATATGAGACTACAGGTTTGGTTCTGATGGGGCCTCATTCTCTTTGGACCTCTCAACGCCATCAAGCTGATGGAGTAAAATGAGATGCAGCTGATATCCTTCCTAATGGGGAAGACAATGACAGATTGAGTGTTGAACTTCCTGTCAGCAAACAGGGATGTAATAATCCTAAAACCGACGATGTGTCAGATCTTCTAAAGATGTCGGCATGTTTTCCATTAGAAGTTTAACTAATACGTGACCATACTGTTTGACCTTTACGTGCTGTGCTGTCCATGTCAGTCAGCTACCTCTCAGTTTCTGCTACCACGTCGTCAACGTCACCAGACCACTGGTTCAAGGATGTGTGTCGAACATTTCCTCATTCAGCGTGTTCAGTTTCAATACACTGAAATACATTTAATAAGGTGCTATTTGTCAAATCTCTGACCTTTGTGGTGCTTTTTCTCATCTCACAGGGGCTAAAAAGAGACAAAGAATACAATTAGTAAGCAGACATTGTGGAACAATGAGTCTTTTTAAGGAGAAAACAAAGGCATAAAGAGTTGGGTTATTGTAAAAAAACAAAAACCAAAACAATGTGATTTGATGACTGTTAAGATTCAGACTCGAAACTCAAGGTCAAGATCCGTCTCTTGCTAGAGCTCTTCAGACTTCTTCATGCAAAGCTGCAGATGGCTGGCAGCCATGTAGATTAGAAATGCAGCAATGTAACGTCGAGCTGAAGAGGGAAATACTTGATCTGTTTCAGACATTTACTGGAAAATCTTATACCTGGTCTTCACTGTGGATTTTTTATTTTTTTTTAGCTTAAACATATTTTATTTTCATTATAATATATATATTCATATATATATATCATATTCATTTGTTATTTCCTCGGTTAATCAATATTTTTGCAACTATATTTTATGTTGTGCTTGTTTACCAAAAGTTAAACGTGTCTAGCCATATGCCTATGCAAGATTCTTTCACGATAACGGTGATGACTTTAAATAAAAATACCAGACCGTTTTCACACCGAGATTTTTAAACAAACTACGTTTTTTTTTTTTTTTTTTTTTTTTTTTAAAAAAAAAAAAAAAAATTTTTCCCC